TCTCCTGTTAATTGAGTCTCTGATTTATCACAGAGGAAAGCATAATTTTCACAGTGGAAAAGATCCAATGCATTAACTCAGTGGCCTTTTATAAAGGAGGATTTCTTTTTTCATTTGAATGAAATATATACCACAAAATGGAACTTGTTTTAAAAAGGAATTGAAAAATGAATATAATCACACTTTAGGCCATTATAATTAATATTTAGTATAATTATGGAAATGATGAATCATGTTCAGTTTTTAATTAATTTATATTTCTTCCCTTTGTACTCAATTTACCAGAAATACCAAATTTCCATCTATATTCTTAGGTGATAAGCTGAAAATTAAATGGAAAAGATTTTTTTTCAAATAATTTCAAGGAGAGAAAAGGCCTGATAGTTTACATACTTGGAGAACTACATAGAGAAGTACATAGATATCCAACAGATCCTAATAAAAAGAGTTTCCATTTCATGTACTTGTTAACCAGATTACAACATAAAATTATATATGTGATATCATGATACAGAGATCCACTTACAGTGTGAGATATTTATCCTCAAAAAAAGAATCAACTATTGAAAATAACTAGCATATAATTGGTGTTCTACCATAGTAATCAGATGTAACCACAGCCCTTTCATCTGAGTGTTGTATTGTTTTTCACTTGCATTTATCATTTTGTCATCATCTGGGGGTTTGCCTTTAACTACAGAAAAGTGGACATATGGTTAGGATCATGGTAGTCAGCAGCCGGAAAAGACTCACTACATCAACAATTTGGGGTCTGGTTTCTTGAGAAGGGAATCAATTAACTATGAAAATAATATTGCCAATTGTTTTTGCAGAAAAACAGTGCAGAGGAAGCTATACCAACAGAATTTGATGAGTTCACTCTATATTTCATATTTCATATTGGGGGATACTTTCTGCAGCAAAATGACTCAGCCTGTGTCAGCCTTAGGCAGGCAGGAGAAATGGGATGTTTCATAGGTTCCAAGTGGACTGCAGTTAGTGATGGATAAGATTTTAATTTCTGTCCATTTTTTGACAGTTTTCACCTAAATGTTACTTGACTTGGATTGCTTGGGGAGAGGATTGGGGCCAAGGTATTAGAATTACTGACTCTTCCTATAAATTGTTGTGTTCCTTCAAGTCATTTCCAACTTATGGTAACCCTAAGGTGAAGTTATCATGGGGTTTTTATGGCAAGATTTGTTCAGAAGGGGTTTGTCTTTGCCTTCCTCTGAAGCTGAGAGTGTGTGAGACTTGTCCAAGGTCAAGCAGTTGGTTTGCATGGCTGAGTGGGGATTTGCACCCTGGTCTCCAGTGTCATAATCCAATGCTCAACCACTATACCACTGGCACTCTCTTCCTGTATGAGTATACTGACAATCTAAGTTCAGTGGAAGTCCTGTTACATATCCCACCAACCTGTTGGTAGGAACACGTGGCATGACAGAGCTTTCTCTGTAGTGGCACCTTACTGTGGTATTCTCTCAAAGGAGGTGAGGTTCAAAGGTCCATCCCTTCTGAGATTCTGGAAGGCAGTGAAACTGTTATACTTTCTGTGGTCTTTGCCTCTTAAAATATGGGGTGTCTGGTTGTTTTTAATTGTTTCTTTGCTTTTACAACTATTTTTAAAGAGGAGTTTGAAATGGTTTTAACTGGTTTTAAATTAAAGTAAATTGCCTTGAATAAAAACATAGTCATAGATGGTCCAGCAGCATTTTCAAACTATCCACTGTTACCTCCACCTTTGTAAGCCCCAAGATAAGTTTCAGAGAGTGGGATAATAAGAGAAAGAGGTGTTGACACCAGCTGGTAGGATCAAGGGCCTTTCCTCTTGAATACTTTTTGTGAGCATCTTGCACACATGGGTTGTGTGTGTATGGGTGTAGTCTGAATTTACTTCCTTTTGTAAATACCCCCCCTCAAATGTTCATGACACTCCTGGACTCACATTTTGATGCACTGCATACATGACATTAGTTACTGAAAAGTAGCACCCACTCTTCCACAATCTGATAATAATATCTCACGAACCCCCAAATGTCACCAGAGAACCCTGCCTCCAGGATGGCTGTAGCTTGAACAGGAATGCTCCTCTTAGCAGTTGGGAATATCATGTAAGATTTGGTTAGTTTCCCCCTTGTTCATATCCTCCTGTGCTTGTAACTACATCCAAACTATGCAAAGGTTTGCTTCTGTGTAATGCTCATTGAATTGAGTGTTACAGTACATTTCTGGAACTCTTTAGTGCTACTTGCTACCATTTCTGGACATGAGACTCTTTCAGAATGGTCTAATAAAGTGGTATGTGGTTCCTTGAGTTTTGCCAGGTTTTACTGGTTGTTACAGGCTCTGTGTCCTGACTTTGTATTCGCTGACTCTATACATTTAGGGGGCTGTTGGTAGTAATTTTTTGGATTTACATTATGGCTCTTCCCAAGGTTTTAGACCAGACCATGGTTTTCTGAGGTGGTCTTGTGGTTTGAAGGCTGAGTTTTCTTTTTTTTTATTTGATTTGATTTTTTTGAAAAAAAGAGATGTTGTGCTATCATGCAAAATGCCATTTCACTGATTCACTATGGAGATTATTGCACACCAAATCTGCCCTGGGATAGACATGTGTTATAATTGTCACCAACAAATCTTCTCACACTACCCTTTGCCTAGGCAGTAGGCAACCTATATCCAACTCAGGCTTCTTCCATATGTTTCAAAAACAGAATAAAATGCCATTTTAAAAAAGAAAGAAAGAAGAAAGGATACTTTTTTTGTTGTGAAAAATTTTGGAATGAAAAAGAAAGCCACTTGAGGGTGGAAATGAAATGCTCCAGCTAGTCTCAGGAATTGCCAGAAAATAATCCAGAACAACAAAATTGATATTTGCATATATTTTCTATAACTCCCCCCCAAGAGAACTACAATAACAAATACCACAATCTCCTGACACATTCACTCCATCTGAAGGTGTCCATAGACAATGTTTCTTCCAGCAATTTTTATGTGCAGTTTTCTCTGGAATACGGAACTCAGCAACACGATACATATTGGTAAGTCAGCTGCCCAAGGGATTGCAGATCCACTATTGCTAGTGTTCTCTTACAAAAGCCCAGAGATTCTGGGGGAATAATGACCACAAAAAGGTGCAAGCTTAGTTTTGCACAGTAGGTAACAAATAGGCCTCACCATTGTCTATTGCAAACTGATAGCACACTTTAATCTGTCAGTATTCCACAGCAGTCAGCTTGATATGGAAAATATTGTTAGGATATTTAAGCTGCCATACTAAGAATTACTTTTAAAAAAACACTACAAGGTGCTTTAAAAAAAAACCCACAACCAAACAGGTCTTTGCACTTGAGAGTGTCTGTGATATGTGGGATCTCACTTGTAATATTTGTTCATCCAAAAATAAAACTTGTTGGAGCACATCCTTAGCAAGAGTGTTGGGTAACATACCAGTAGTGTGTGAAATCATATCCTCAGGCTCAGCCTTATGTCCAATATCTATGGAACAGGAACTTGGCAATCCAGCTACACTGCATTTCCCTAAAGATATTGGTAGTCTGCCAACCATATAGCTCAATATACCTTGTAGATGAACTTTAGTCTAAGTAGATCAAGCAGTTTTCCCTGGAATGATGGAGCACTGTGCTCACTGTAGAAACAGAAGCAGGTTCTTGCAATGCTTTCTTTTCTGCTCAATGATTATACAGTATATTTATGTTTATATTTCTGTTTCTCTTGCTAGAGAGCAAGAGAAGGACATGCTATACTCATGACTTGCTAGTGGGCTTTCCATTGGCATCCAGCCTTTGGTCTGATCCGGCATGCCTCTGATATGTTTATGCTATCTGTTGAATCCCGGGTTAGGTAAATGGTGGTGACACAGAAGTCATAAAAGGGTGTTTAAAAATACTTGGGGATCAAATCAGTCTTTCCTAAATCATCACCAATGCTACAAAGCAGGTACAGGGGCCCTAAAGATCTAATAAGAGATATCAAAAGCACTGTTTTTATTTCTACATGGAATCCCTTTACCCATATAGCATCTCCAAAATTAAGCCTCAGACCACTGTTAAGGAGCATTGTCCCATTGCTTGCCAAATTTATAGGTCCCACACCAGCACCACACAATCCCACAGGCATTTTATTGATCATTTAGATTAGAGTTCATTTGAGCCATTAGCACTACTTGAATTACAAAAAACCTTAGCTGCTGCAGTGCAGAATTCATGCAGTTTTACACCAATTTAACTATCATGGCTCCATCCTATGGAATCCTGGGATTTGTAATTTGTTGGGGCAGCAGAGCTCTCTGACAGAAAAGGCTAAATGTTTCACAAAATTACAAATCCCAGGATTCCATAGCATTAAGCCATGACAGTTAAAGTGGTGTCAAAGTGCATTTATTTTGCAGTGCAGATGTAGTGCTAGAGGGTGATCTCTCCCTATGTTTATAAAGATCCAATTACAATCGCCCCTCCATTTTCATGGGGGTTCTGTTCTGGACCCCTGCCCAAAAAACAAAAAACTGCAAATATTCAACCCCCATTGGCTTGAATGGCCACTCATTCCTGCATGGGGCCCTGCATGTGCACCATGGGCACGGTACACACACCATTTTATCCTTTTCTGCTTGCTGGTCCATGAAGGACTGAAACGGCAAACTCAAAGTTCATGAATGGGAAGTGGCAGCAGTAGTTACTTTTAAATAAGTCTAGGAAGGGCTTACATTGTGGGGGAACAGGAAATGGGGCTTTTAGATCTGATGAAGGACCTCTTTCCCTCATTAAATTCTCAGCATTTACAAACTGTCTCCATTTTATCTTTCTTTAGTATTAGAAGTTATTGATTTTATGTAGTATTTTACAATTTTATTGTAATTTGCCCAGCATATTATATTAAGAGAAAGTCAGTAGAAAATTTTTCCAAACAAGCAAACAAACATTGTCAGCATGTTTAGGATTTCTGTCTAAATAAATTCCAGTATGTTATTTGGGAGAGACTGTGTGGAGTAGTGGTTTCAGCACTGGATTATGACTCTGGAGATCAGGGTTCAAATGCCTGCTGAGCCATGGAAACCCATTGGGTGACCTGGGTTTGCTTTAGGATCACCATACATTGGAAATGACTTGAAGGCACAGAACAACATATGTTATTTGGGACTGCTGTGTTTTCCTGTTCACCTTTCTGTCAATATTCTTCTGATCTGATTTTTGTCCTGCAGAATTAACCTGAGAAAGCTTATACATTGATAAGTCTGATTCACATGACCTTCCTTCTTTTTCTTGAAAAGAAAGAATTTTGCAGAATGGACTTTTTCATAGAGTCCCTATCTCATCAATTATTTCCTCCTCTAGTCTTGCCTTTTGTTCAACTTTACAGAGGACAGTCCTCTCCTTGGAGGTATTTTCTCTCGGATGTGTTCTCCTCAGGCTAGTCTATGTGTACGTGTACTATGCAAATTGGTGTGCATTTTTGCACATTTTCATTAACTACAATTGTCTTCCCTTTCTTGCACAAATTCACAATTGTTTGCATCTATTCACCCTCCCTCTGCTGAAAATGCACATCCATCTGAATGCATGTGAAGCAGGCAGATGAGCACACATGCAATAATGCACATTCATGTACATTTCAGCAAATTTGTTGTTGTTCATGTGTCTTTAAGTAATTTCCGACTTGTGGCAACTCTATCATGGGGTTTGCTTGGCAAGTTTCTTCAGTGGGGATTTGCCATTGCCATCCTATGATGCTGAAAGAGTATGATATGCTCAAGGTCACCCAGTGGGTTTACATAGCCAAACCTGGATTCAAACCCTGGTCTCCAGAGTCCTAGTTCAACAATGAAACCACTATGCCATGCTAAAACTGCAAAGCCTGTTTCTGCTGAGTTCAATAGGTTTTTCACCACCACCCTCAGCCCAAACGACTGTGAATCACGTGTGGCTGGTTCACATTCTATTCAACTGGAATGAATAGTATTTTAAATGTGTAGACTAGCCCCTAGCCAAACCCAGTTTAAATACAAAACATCCATAAGAAGGGAGTGTGTTATAAGGTGTGAGCTCTCAAGTAGGCTATAAAACATTGCAGTGTTCCTTCTGATATATCTACTGACTGGTTTGATATTACTGTGTGGAGTCTGGATTAGCTCTAGTTTTGCATTGGTAGGTACATTACAAGATGTGTTCATCCTGCTCCAAGTCAATAAAAGGATTGTTGTGTGCCTTCAAGTCAGTTCTCACTTACAATGACCCTGAGGTAAACCTATCATGGGGTTTTCCTGGCAAGATTTGTTCAGAGGAGGATTTGCTATTGCCTTCCCCAAGTGGGTTTCATAGTTGTAAGTCCAGCACTTAAATGTGTTATAATCTATCTACCTGTGTACTCACTAAATGTCCTGCTCCAGAACCTATTCTATGGGATTATGATGAGTAGAGTGCTAAGGATACTGTGGACAGCCAGTAATTGGGGAT